TGCACGCCCGCCTCTCGCGATTGCTGTTGTTATTATTATGACTGTGCTCGTGTGTCGTGTCGTGGTTGGGTGGTGTGCATTGCTGACATTCCAGGCGAATGGTCGGCGCAGCCGAGTGGCCTTGCCCAGCAGGTGGGGTCCACAGTGCGCCGACTACTGGTTGCTGTGGCGGCGCACGCTGCCGCGGAGCAGGCTGGTCGGCGTGCTGGCCAAGTGGGTCAACCTGTGTCCGGCCCTGCTGGGCCTCGCCGAGCCCTTGGAAGCCCTCGAGCAGCACCTGCGCGCCGAGGCCTGCCTTCACCCCAATGACCTCACACTGCTGCTGGACGTCGTTTTCGAGCAAGCCAAGAGAACGAAAACGAGAGCAAAAGCGAAGAAGAACGAACCAGCAACCAAAACGAGAGCGAAGAAGAACGAACCAGCAACGAAAACGACGCGCGTGGCGATGACCAACAGCGCCAGGAAGCCGAACGCCAGACAGACGATTACGACGGAGAGGAGAAACCAACGAGCCGCGGAGAAAAGCGCGGCGGCGAGTGTCAGCAAACGCAAGAAGGATGAAGCGGATGAAGTGGATGAGGACGGCGATGGGTCGGGGCTGGTGGGCGACTTCCTCGCGGCTCACCCGCACGACATTGCTGTGGCTCTGACTGCGCGCCACTGGGCGATCTTCGGCCCGATCCCACTGCTCGACCTCGTGGGCACGTACCTGACGAGCTCTGTGTCGTGTGTCGTGTTGTGAGGCGCTGACCGACCTCTGTACAGGAAAGTCGAGCTGTGGCGAGGCCGAAGTACCCGCCATCAAGCAATTAGGCGAAGAGTCCTCTCAGGTGCTGCAGACGTGTGGCGTGTGGCGTGTGGCGTGTGCCGTGTGCCGTGTGGCGTGTGGCGTGCGTGTCGTACTCAACCTCTCGCTGTAGTTGAGGCAAGCGGTCACGGTGACCCTCACATCGCTGGCCAGGGCCAAGCTCAAGGCGCGGGTGTACAAGAAGTGGATCAAGGTGGCTTGGGTACTTGGTGTCCACTTGGCTCTCACCCACCCAAACACCAAACAGCGAAACTAAGCGGCTTTCCTTGTGGTGCCACACGCACACGCACACGCACACGCACACGCACAAAATAGAAGCTGCGGCTGCTCAACAATTTTGAGTTCATGCTCCATGTCATGGATGCGCTTGAGTCCACCCGTTTGAAAAAGGTGAAGCCTGATTGGGAGGTACGCTCAGCCTCCACGCCCCTCCCCCCCGGAGGGAGAAATCAGCTGATCTCGTGACTGCTGACCTATTCACTGTTGGGTGGTGGAGGGTCACCACGACGCAGTCAGCGCAGCATACGTTCGCGCACTTCAAAGAGATGAAATGTATGATGGTTTCACGGCTTGACCGCAGACGCGGCGTTGGGCCTGAGTACCGGGAGGCATTGGCCCAAGCGCAGCCTCCCTGCATTCCCTTCCTGAGTACTCCCTTTCCCCCCCCCCCGACCAGACGCCTCTTGGGGCCTGGTGATAGTGGCCTGATGACGACGCTGGTGGTGCGTGCATGCGTGTGGTGCGTGCGTGCGCGGTGCGTGCATGCGTGTGGTGCGTGTATACTAGGAGATCTCCTGACAGACCTGGATAAGGATGGCCGAGTCATGGGCGTGCTGGCCAGGGTGCGCTTTGATGCGTGGCGTTGGCGCAGACCACACCTGGCCTTCGTGTTGTACGTTCTCCTCTCTCGTTAAGCGCTCTTCTTCCTTCGCGCGGGTCCAGCTCCCACACAGCTGGGCGTTGGAAGCTTATGATCAGCCAATGTCGTGTGCAACAACACAGACGCATCAAGACCGGGTCGCCCCCTGCGGCCAATGAAGAGAGCCAACGGCTCGTTTCCCGGCTGCTGGCACTTGGGGGACCCCGGCGAAGAGGAGGGCAAGGGACAGGGCAACGCGAACAGGAGACAAGCGACATCTTGGCTTTCTTACAAGAACTTGAACTAGAAAGACAAGGCCTGATTTGAGCACTTGTTCATAGCCATCAACTGCTGCTCTGTTTGGGCTATAATGAGCAAGTTCAACTTTATTCACTGGGAGATAGAAGACAAGAATGAACAAACAAGTGGAGACTGAGGTACTTGATACACATACTTGTCTCTTGTGTTGAGGGGATTCTTGGTTGTTGAGTAAACAAGGACTTAGGGGTCCTCTGCCCCCATAACTACTTCTTTCTCTCACCATTCCACTGTGCCATCATACCATGCCCATCATCACTGGTAAGAAGCACATGGACAATACCATGGGATCACCCACCTGCACAATTTTGCCTCAAATATGAACAGAGTGCTGCAGACACTGGCAGGCAAAAAAGTTGCTTGCCAAAGATGAACTTGTGGTCATTTGAAATGAGAGGTCCAGTCATTTTGAAAAGTGATTTTGTTTGTGAGTTTAAGCTCATAAAAATAGTTTTGACAACACAAAAATGGTTTTAATTTAAGAATAGCAAGACAAAGTTGGGAGCATCTTGAGAAATGGCAGATTAAAATACCATCATAATGAGAGATATGATGCTGTAACTGGGCCATCAAGTCAAGGTCTGGAATGACCAATTTCTATCATGTACATGTTTTGGTACACTTACTTTATCGCGTACGCGTACGCGATGACTACGCACATTTTTTTCGGTACTTTCCTGAACGGTTGGCACACATCCATAAAAGGAAAAATCACAGCTGCTGGAATTTAACTGGACAAACAGTCAATTTTTATTCTTTACACAAGCAATTCCGAGGGGCTGTTTGTCACATCTCAGTGTGGAGAGTGCCCTTCATCTCTTCCTTTCCTTCTTGGCCTCCTGAGGAGGTGGCTGCTCACTATGAGGGTGGCCTGGAGCTGCTCTTTGTCATTCACTTGATATTAAATTGTTGCAGCATTCATCTTCACATGATCTGTGGGGCAAGGAGGAGATAAATTAGCAAACATTCTATTGTGTATGTGTATGCAATAGAATGTCCTGCAGTTTCAAAGCATAATGGGCTTTGAAAATAGCATGTATGCAATGGGGCAGTTACCTCCTTCAGGAGCTTCAACAGTTCCTTGTTGTTGGCCATGGCTGATGGCAGGGTGACTTGCACCAATGCAGACACAACAACAAAAACTGTAAAAACCACACTTACTTTATCACATACACATTCACAATGACTACATGTTTGACCTACCAATACTTAGTTTATCATGTACACCTACATGATCTGGAAAATCAGAACATCATATTCTATGCTGTGGTCAGGCAGATCAAATTGGGGAAGCAACCTGAATTTATGATTGCATATGTAGAGCACAACCTCACTCCTACCAAGTGTGATGGTCAGAATTTCAGATTGAATGTCCCCATTGCAATTCCCTTAAATTGCATTTTAGGAGACAATATTAAACACAATGGCAGGCAATGCCCATAAACTAAAACAACACCTTGGCAAAGAACGAAAACGAAGACTATCATAAGAAAGACAGGAATGGAGGTGATGGCCCATTGTTTAAAACAAGGTGAAAAACATGGAAGCTGTTGTGAATGGTTTCAGGGAAACTACACGAGAGTTGGCTCGAAAACGTGGGCAAAAGGATAGAACGCGTTTTTATCGCGCAATGGATCTGACGGGGGCGCTGCCGGACGAGGTGTGGGAGGGCCTGTTCGGCTGGCTCGACACGGGGCGCGACTTGTGTGCCGTCGGCGCCTCGTGCACGCGTTTCCATAACATCGTCTCGGGGCCATCGTTGTGGCGCCACCTCACGCGTCGTCACTCGAAGTACCGTACCAAAGCTCCCCCCCCCACAACCTGCCCTCTTCTTCTCCTATCCTTGCCCTGCTTTCTTCTTCTGTTTTCATCATCATCTTCTTCTTTTGCTTCTTTTTCTGCCGCTCACAACCCGCGTTTGCGCTGGTAGAAGCGCAGAGCTGTGCGAGAGCGGAGCCGAGTACGCGGCCGCGCTCGAACGTAGTGGCCGCTGTCTGCCACCACCAACCAGCAATGCTGGTGTTGGCGACTTTGACTTCGATGAAACAACGACACAACCACCACAGACGCCCGACGGCGACGAAGTCCAGATCGACGACAGCGGCGCCGTCCAGGGCGCATGCTCGCTGGAGGGCCTTCTCCGCTTCTTCTTCAGCGAGCCCACCATCCGTATACCCATACTCCCCCTCCCTCTACTATTGCTCACACTGCACATATGGTCAGCTCAGCGGCCTGACCATTAATGATCATCACATTCCATTCCCACCACCAGAGAACGCGAAAGCGTGGATGCGGTGGGCCGAGGTGGACGTGTGGCTGTACAACTACGCCACCGCCTTCTCGCACGACCAGTTCCTTCTTGCGTTGAGGTGCACGCCCGCCTCTCGCGATTGCTGTTGTTATTATTATGACTGTGCTCGTGTGTCGTGTCGTGGTTGGGTGGTGTGCATTGCTGACATTCCAGGCGAATGGTCGGCGCAGCCGAGTGGCCTTGCCCAGCAGGTGGGGTCCACAGTGCGCCGACTACTGGTTGCTGTGGCGGCGCACGCTGCCGCGGAGCAGGCTGGTCGGCGTGCTGGCCAAGTGGGTCAACCTGTGTCCGGCCCTGCTGGGCCTCGCCGAGCCCTTGGAAGCCCTCGAGCAGCACCTGCGCGCCGAGGCCTGCCTTCACCCCAATGACCTCACACTGCTGCTGGACGTCGTTTTCGAGCAAGCCAAGAGAACGAAAACGAGAGCAAAAGCGAAGAAGAACGAACCAGCAACCAAAACGAGAGACGAAGAAGAACGAACCAAGACAACGAAAACGAACCGG